GAGATTGTGCCATTGCACTCCAGCCTGGGTAACAAGAGCAAAACTCCCTAAAAAAAAAAAAAAAAAAAAAAATTGTCCCTACTCATTTACACCAAAACTCTGGGCTTCAAGCCGAACCTCAACATCAGTTCAAGACCCATAAGTCAGGGAAGAGCTATGCCTCAGATACACATCATCTTCAACTTCACTCAATTCAGACTTCCGAACATGCAGAGAGCCTATAGAAAAGAATGGCCTAGTTGAGACTCGAGCTTACAACTTCTCAGCAGTATTTTCCATTTAGATGAATAAAACTACACAGCAGAAGTAAAGAGGACTTGTGTTCGTGTTTTAGTTTTGTTTTGTTCTGGTTTTTTACTCATGATGAGCTGGGATAGCACTTGAAGTAATGCATGGCTTTGGTATTTGCATAGCATAAGCTTCCATTCGTTAGAAAAGCATGTTACTCATATAATTTCCCACTAAAACCAGTGGTTTTAATTAAGAAGAAAATTAATGAAATGCAATTGGTTTTGCTAATAAAGAACTATGCTAATTCCTACAAAAAAATCTAATTCTCTATAATTAGCTCATATGAAATTCATTTATTAGAAAGAAAATCATGTATAAAACCATGCAGAAAACCAAACTGCTGAGCTGCAGAGTTTCTAATAATTGAACTCCGAGAGTAACTGCGAATAGCATAAAAACATGAAGCCAATATTTCCTGATATAGTATATCTCATGGCAGATTTCCAGAACAACCATGAAAGGGGCCCCTTATTTCAGAGCCAGGCCTATCTGAAATGAGATTATTCTCTTAACAGTTTTTCCATAAGCCCAGCTTGTAAGGGCAAGAATATCTGATGTTACCCTTCTCATGACTAAGCCAAGAAAGGAGACTTGAGAAAATTTATTCTATTGTCATGACTCTGGGCATTTAAAAAATCATCAGGGAGCTTTGGAACTGGATAAAATCTAAATGTTCCTGTACACTCAGACATGGGGTATTGCCATTGTGGCCCCCTTTTAAAACTGTATTATGCTGAAAGCCTTTCAAATATGGATAAGGATTTCTCTCAGATATCTACAAAGAAGTTGCCAGAAGTTTAGAGTTCTCTACTCAACTCACGATAATCCCATAACTGCTCTTTTCAGTTTAAGTGTTGGCAACTATTGTACATTATATGACTCCACACTCCTCCCTACCACAGGCAAACCAAATTCTCTTTCCCAGGAATTTGGGATTGGGACTAAAATATTGTGATTGAGTCTTTGCTGGTAAGTGGGACAAATTGTCAAGAATTGTATAATTCCTATATTCTATTACCACATTCATGGAGAAGCAGAGAAAAGAGAGATTGAGAGAGATAAAGAGAGACAGAGAGGAGGGAGTTGGGGGATGGATACAGACAATCAGAGAACAGAAATAGAAAAGAAAGGTCTTCTCTTTTTACGGTTTCTGGTTCAGGTGATTTCCTAAAGACTGACTTTGAGGTCCTTATGATACCCCCTCTATCCTTATAACAGACCCCTCCTCTTTTGCTGATGTTAACCTGAGTAGAATTCTGTACTTGCAACAAAAGCTGTCGCCATTGCACATGTTGGAATACATATTAAGGAGAGATCAGCTAGGGGTAGAAGCCAGAGAAGAAAAAAGGGAAGAGAAAAATAAAATAGCAAATACTCTCTATGTGTAAAGCAATTTGCTAAACACTTTAAAAATTATATTATTACTCCATACAGTATTCTTTAAAAATATGTTATTTCTCCCCATGTTTTCGAGGGAGAGTTCCAAATTTCAGAGGTTTAACCATAGGCTGCACAGTTAGCTGGTAGAAGATCCGGCATTTGTGTTCACATTTGGGCTGTTGGGCTTGGGCTCTGGTCTTACTGCGATAAATAACAGTCACTCTGATGCTTGTGTAACCTTGAGCAAAGCACTTCACTGTATTTAGGCCTTAGGTAAACATAATACTCTTTAAGATCGCTTCCAATGTAATAGTATAGTATCACTTAAAAAATTCATTTAGAACAATGTTTCTCTATCCAGTAGTTTGAGTAGGGGTAGAGGTGGGTAAGTTAGATCTAAGCTCCCTTGCCAGGTGCAATGGCTCACGCCTAGAATCCCAGAACTTTGGGAGGCTGAGGCAGGCAGATCACCTGAGGTTGGGAGTTAGAGACCTGCTTGAACAACATGGAGAAACCCTGTCTCTACCAAAAAAAGCAAAAAATTAGCCGGGTGTGGTGGTGCATGCCTGTAATCCCAGCTACTTAGGAGGCTGAGGCAGGAGAATCGCTTGAACGTGGGAGGCAGAGGTTGTGGTGAACTAAGATCATGCCATTGCACTCCAGCCTGGGCAACAAGAGTGAAACCGTCTTTTTTTTTTTTTAATTTTAATTTTTATTTTTTTTCTTAAAGATGGGGTTTCACCATGTTGGTCAGGCTGGTCTTGAACTCCTGACCTCAGGTGATCCGCCCGCCTTGGCCTCCAAAGTGCTTGGATTACAGGCGTGAGCCACCACGCCTGGCCTGAAACTGTCTTAAAAAAAAAAAAATCTAAGCCCCCTTGGATGTCATCTCAAATTATACCCATCCTTCATCCCCGCGCTAAAGAATCCCACAAGCTCTGGTGGATGTGTAAAGGTTGTGGGCAACAGAGCTAGGATTTAAGCCCAGAGCTGTCTTACCACTTTGTTATGCTGCTGTTTCCTCTTTTACTACACCTATGGGAATATTTAGAAGCTCAATAATTTTTTCAACTGAATTGCACGAATATTTGCCACAAATCATTAATGTGTCCTATTTTGAATGCTTTGCACATTTTAGAATTAACTTGTCAATTTCTAACAAAAATCCAGCTGGTATTTGTATTGAAATTGCATTGAATCTATTGATCAGTTTGGTGGTATTGCTGTCTTAACAATATTGAGCCTTCTTATCCATGAATATAATATACTTTTCTACATTTTCAAAAGTCTTCTTTAATTTCTGTCAGCAGTTTTGTAGTTTTCAGCATAGAATTTTTGCATGGCATTTATTAATTTATCTCTAGGTATTTTATATCCTTGGATGCTATTGCAAATCAATATTGTGAAAATGACCATACTGCCAAAGCAATCTATGAATTCAATGCAATCCCCATCGAAATACCACCATCATTCTTCACAGAATTAGAAAAAAAAAATCTTAAAATTCATATCGAACTAAAAAAGAGCCCACATGGCCAAAGCAAGACTAAGCAAAAAGAATAAATCTGGAGGCATCACACTACCTGATTTCAAACTATACTATAAGGCCATAGTCACCAAACCAGCATGGTATTGGAATAAAGATAGGCACCTAGATCAATGGAACAGAATAGAGAACTAGAAATAAACCCAAATGCTTACAGCCAACTGATCTTTGACAGAGAAAACAAAAACATAAAGTGGGGAAAGGACACCCTTTTCAACAAATGGTGTTGGGATAATTGGTTAGCCACATGTAGGAGAATGGAACTGGATCTTCATCTCTCACTGTATACAAAACTCAACTCAAGATGGATTAAAGGCTTAAATCTAAGACCTGAAACTAAAAAATTCTAGAAGATAACATTGAAAAAATCCTTCTAGATTTTGGGTTAGGCAAGGATTTCATGACCAATAACCCAAAAGCAAATGCAATAAAAACAAAGATAAATAGCTGGAGCTTAATTAATCGAAAGAGCTTTTGCACAGCAAAAGGAACAGACAGCAGGGTAAACAGACAATCCACAGAGTAGGAGAAAATCTTCACAATCCATACATGTGATGAAGGACGAATATCCAAAATCTACAACAAACTCAAATCAGTAAGAAAAACAAACAATCCCATCAAAAAATGGGCTAAGAGCATAAACAGACAATTCTCAAAAGAAGATATACAAATGGGTAACAAACATATGAAAAAATGCTCAGCATCACTAATGATCAGGGAAATGCAAATCAAAACCACAATGCGATACCACCTTACTACCTCAAGAAAGGCCATAATCAAAAAATAATAGATGTTGACATGGATATGGTGATCAGGGAACACGTCTACACCACCGTTGGGAATGTAAACTAGTATGACCACTATGGAAAACAATGTGGAGATTCCTTAAGGAACTAAAAGTAGAACTAGCATTTGATCCAGCAATTCCACTACTGGGTACCTACCCAGAGGACATGAAGTCATTATATGAAAAAGATACTTGCACACGCATGTTTACAGCAGCACAATTGACAATTGTAAAAATGTGGAACCAAACCAAATGCCCATCGTCAATGAGTGGATAAAGAAGTTGTGATTTACAGTAATATAATATTATATAATACATATTGCTCGGGTGATGGTGCACCAAAATCTCAGAAATCACCACTAAAGAATTTATGTAATCAAACACCACCTGTTCCCCAATAACCTATGGAAATTAAAATATTAAAAAAATACATACTTGGTAGCAGAATAATATTCTCCCCCAAGATGCTCATGTCCTAATCCTCAGAACCATGGCAAAGGATAATTAAGTTCACAAATGGATTTAAGATTGCTAATCAGGTGACCTTAAAATAGGGAGATTATTTTAGGTTATCTGAGAAAGCTTAATGTAATAAAAGGCCCCTAAAAAGTGGAAGAGAGGGAAGGGCACAGTGGCTCATGTCTGTAATCCCAGCACTTTGGGAGGCTGAGGCAGGCAGATCACCTGAGTTCAGGAGTTCAAGACCAGCCTGGCCAACATGCAAAACCCCATCTCTACTAAAAATACAAAAATTAGCCAGGCATGGTGGTGCTCACCTGTAATCCCAGTTACTCAGGAGGCTGAAGCAGGAGAATCGCTTGAACCCGAGAGGTGGAGTTTGCAGTGAGCAGAGATCGCGCCACTGCACTCCAGCCTGGGCAACAGAGTGAGACTCTGTCTCAAAATAAATTAAAAAAAAAAAATACAAAAGTGGAAGAGGGAAGCAAAACAGGAAAGTTAAAGGGATACATTACTTAGAAAAAGGTTAAAGAGCTGTAACATTGTCAGCTTTAAAGATAGGGGATGGGACAATGAGCCATGGAATGCAGGTAGCATCTATAAACTGGAAGAAGATTCTCCCTAACAGCCTTTAGAAAAAAGTCACAGCCCCATTGACATCTTGACTATAGCCCAATAAGGCCCTGATTGGACTTCTGTCCTCCATAACTGTAAGATAATTAATTGTGTTGGTTTAAACTACTAAGTTTGTGGTAATTCAGTATAGCAAAAATAGGAAACTAATACAGAGTTAGGGAGAAGTTCAGTAACTTAGGACTCTGAACTTAGTTAGAAAGAGCAGTTCTCTCTTCACCCCCCAATCCCTCCATTCATGGAACTTGCCCCATAGTGACATCCTGCAATCCGCTAGATTTGGAAACAGTATCAGAGAGAACGTTTACATTTTTGCACCATCCATGCTGCAAAGCTGAGCGACCTTCAGGAAGATTTGACAGAAGATAACAAATATCAACCAATGAGAGCTAGGTCAGGAGAAAAGCCTGGTAGAAGCCACACAGTAACTGCAGTAGCCACTTTGTGGGCACAGGTGAAGGTATTTGTGGGCACAGGTGAAGCACTACTTTGAAGGATAACTTTTAGTGGGGACAAATTCCATTTTGAGAAGGTAGGAGTCTGAAAGATATAATTTTTATAATTATGACTCTTGGTGAGGCCAACTTGGATTATGCTAATAATAAAGTATACACTAGTACTCATTAATTTCTGAAGTTTATGACATAATTTTAAATATAATCAGAGAAGATTGAAGATTAACCCTATAATGAGAGCATTCTTACATATTAGTTTTTCAGTCTCTTGAGTGATAAAAAATGAGAAGAATGTGAGAGGTTGTGCTGGGAAGTGCACACAGGCCTCAAACTGTCCTCTCACTGCCAGCTACATCCTGAGTGAGTTCCTAGTGTGAACTGAAAAGGCAAAAAATGGAAAGGACATTTACTGGGGCCAGTGTAAGTCAATTGTCTCCATCCTTATTCCCTAACTCAGAAACTCACATGAAGAAAGACATTGTCAATTTCATGAGCAGTCTGTATTTTTTTCTATTGGTGAGAGATAAAGTAGCATAGGGTTTTCCTTTGGAAGAATAACAAAAGTATTTTATAAGGGTATGAGTTGTAAAATTAACTTTTTGTTATCTCCAAATTGTCATTTTGCAAGGAAAAAAATATAAGTAATAAATATGAGTATTTATTTTTTTGGGTCCATATATGGCTGGATGCAGTCACAGGTGCCATGGTTAGAGATTATTGTCATGTGTCTGAGTTATAATTTCAGTATGCATGTGGCTAGTTCTTTTTTTTTATTTTGCCAATGGCTATATTTTTAATAAAGAAAAAGACAAGGATAGATGAGGAAAATATGAAGCATTTTTATCTTCAGTGCATGTCAGGAAGAATGATGCTGTGAAATTTTAGTTAATAATGAAATTGAAACTACAAAGACCAAATCATAAATAAAATGAATTTGCAATAGTGTTACTCATAGTAACACATTGCGAAAATATCATGTGCCCTATGATCCTTGCCTTTGCACTGAGTTATAGCTGTGCTTATGCTTTAATGCTATAACTGACCATCTCGTTTCTATTGCCCTTGGACCAAAAGTCTGAAATAAAAAAGGAACATTCATATTTATTACTTATACTTTTTATCTTGCAAAATGACAATTTGGAGACAAGAAAAACTTAATTTTATAACTCACATCCTTACAAAATAATTTTATTTGTTATTCTTCCAAAGGGAATCCACATGCTATTTACTTTATCTCTCACCAATAGAAAAAAAAAAATACAGACTGCTCATGAGATTGACAATGTCTTTCTTCATTTGAGTTCCTGAGTTAAGGAAACAAGATGGAAGTGGTTGATGCACACTGACCCCAGCAAATGCCCTTTCTATTTTTTGCTTTTCAGTTCAGCTAACATTTATTGACAGCTTTGACTGTGCCAGGCACTGTGCTAAATGCCAAGGATGCAGAAATGATCAAAACACATTCCCTTTCCTCAAGAAGCCCATGCTCTGACGGAGGAGGCAAACAAGTGCTTTAGGCCCAAATGTAAAACTATGAGGGCTCCAAAAAGGGAGTGATTTATTTTGCCTGGAAAGAAATGAAACCTTCACAGAAGAGGTGACATTTGAAAGGGGCCTTGAAGGAAAAAAGAGAAGGTCAGTAGTTGTCCGTATTAAACAATAAAACAGCATAAAAATTCTAAGAGAAAGCTCTGTTTGCATTCTGTGGGCTGCCTGTGCAACTGGATCTGAGCATTCCCTGGGTGGCTGAGGGGGCTGTGAGGACCAGACAGAGAACAGTCTTCTCCCGGCCTCATCAGTCCAGGCCAAGTGACCTCCAGCTGCAGGAAGGAGTAAACACCGGATCCCTTTAGTGCAGGGCACCAACCCAGGGCTCCATGTGTCCTCTTTAAGAGGAGAAAACAAGACAAAACAAAAATAACAAAATGAAAGCAGGGCGTTTCTGCCATTTCCTGGCTCAGAAATGAGGTTGGTGAGCTAATGAATGGAGCCCTCGTGTGTTTAACTGTAAACTGGGGAAACCTATACCTCCCTCAAGTGCTTCTGTGAGGATAGAAGAGAGAAATGCACGCACAGCCCCTGGCACATGATCCTGAGAAGTGGCAGCATGGCGATGATGGTGACAATGGTGGCGATGCTAAGGATAAGGGACGGGGCTGGTCTCTGGGCTGCCTTAGGAAGCCTGAGCATCCCATGTGGTGGGCAAGAACAGCATGATCTTGGCTACCTTGGCTTTGACCCAAAGGGACTTCCTGCCCATCTGCACTTCCCTTGCCGTTGTCCTTGTGGCTCAGATGGTGCAGGCAGCTGCTCCAACTGCTGCCTCTGGTGCCCTGACAGCTGCAGTGAGCCAGGCAATGGGCTATGAAACCGAACCTCAACTGGAGACTATTCGCCCTAAATAATCCCAGCAACAAGGCCCGCCACACTCCTCTCCCCTGCCTGCCCCCATCCCTGATTTCACCTGTTGTGGTTCCCCTCTCATTACACCTGGATTTCCTTTCATTTTCTTTGTCCCTTTGCTGCCTCTTTCCCTTTCTCTCTCTCTCTATTCTCCCTCCTCCTTGCTCCCTCACCTCTTTTTTCTTCTGTGCATTCTGGCTCCTCATCCGGTTCTGGTTTCTCCACTGTGGTATGGCAGAGGATGTGAGGTCAGAAGGCTCAGGGACTGCTGGGCTTCTGAGATGCGGGGCATGCCGCCTCAGCCTCCTGGGATGTGGTTTCCTCATCTGCAGAATTGGACCAGAATGACTCCGGATTGTTCCTTCCGCTCCAAACTCCTGTTCTGTTACATTGTGTGGTATTTGCCTTTGTGCCTGCTTTTCCTGTTTCAGCTGTCTCATCTGTCCACCTGCCTCTCCCGTCCGCATCCCACCACTCGGGTGCGAGCCGCCAGCATCCCTTGCATGGACCCCTAGAGCAGCCTCCTGCTACTGGAGCTCTCCCAGCTCCTGCTGTTATCCCTGTCCAATGTGCTATCCACACAGAAGCCAAAGTGACCTTTTCAAAAAAGAGATGAGATTGCTCACTGAGGTTAAATCCTCCTAACTCCTGTACACCCCTTTTCTATCATAGGTCCCCATTTATGTTCTTCAGAGCAATTATTATTGCCTGAAATTATCTTTATGTACTCATGAATTTCTTAATGTTATTGTATCATTTACTGTCTGTCTTCCACATGAGAATACAGGCTCCAGGAGCGATGGACTTGATTGTCTTATTTACTGCATATCCTCACTGGAAGGGCCAGGGTCTTTATTCTCTCCATAAACGCTGAATGAAGGAACCTCCTTTCGCCACAGAATCCATCTCTCCCCTTCTTGAGAGTATTCTCTCCTAACTACACCATTTCTTACTTAGAAATACCTGTGCCTGCCAGAAATTCTGCCCATCTTTCTCTGTCATTTCTGACATAATTCCCCTCATTCACTTTTCTCAGTCACCTGGGTCCTGTGTTCTCGTGGGCTATGGTAGAGAACAATGGCAGTGAGGAAGCTAGTTCTTCTCTTGCTTTAATATCAATCTGTACCATTGGATGCCTTAGGATCAAACAGCCTAACAACTCTGAGACTTGAATAGGTGACTTACGATGCCAAGAAAGAGACTTCTTTAAGAAAATGTATTAAAACTGCCAAAATTCTGTGCTTGGTTCTTGGGGAGACGTTAGGAAGAGCCATTTTCCTGAAAACAACTTTTTAAAGTGGGTAATGTTAATATGTCCATTTCACAGGTAGCAGAACTGGGATTTAGAGAGTGTGCAACTGGGCAAGGCCACAGAGCCAGAGTGCATGGAGCCAGGATTTGAATGGAAGAAGTGCAATGCCAGATCCAGGCACCTAGCCACCATCTGGGTGACTCTAGTCACCCTCTCAGTCCCTAGATTAGATTGCTCTGCATTATTTTCAGCATATCACTATAAATACCTGATGTGGTCAGATTTCTTTATAACTTACCTTTTTGTGACGATTTCCTTCCATTATAGCATAAGCACCATCCAGGGATGTACCATGTCTGACCTGCTCACGGCACTTACTCCAGTGCTTACAATAGTGCCTCATACATAACGGATGTTCAATAAATATTTGCTAATGAATTTGTTATTTGCATATTGAAGATGAGATATAAAAGAAGTCCTGATAATTCTGTCTATAAAACTCCATCATAGCCAGGTGCTGTGGCTCACACCTGTATTCCCAGCACTTTGGGAGGCCAAGGCAGGGGGATTGCTTGAGCCCAGGAGTTTGCCACCAGCTTGGGCAACATAGAGAAACATCATCTCTACAAAAAAACCCAAATAAATAAAAGATTAAAAATTAGCCAGGCATAGTGGTGCATACCTGTAGCCTCAGTTACTCAGGAGGCTGAGGCCAGAGGATCACTTAAGCCCAGGAGTTTGAAGCTGTAGTAAGCCATGATCACTCCAGGGCAATCCAACCTGGTTGACAGAGGATTATTGTGTCTCTAAAAAACAAAAAACCATCTTCTTTGTCAATAGAACTTTCACAAAAGTATCTTCACTGTTGGCTGATACTTTTTCTTTGAGAATGCATTTGACTTTTGCAATTAGCCAAAACTGTTAAAGACTGCTTTTTTGTCAGGAGGAACATATAGTCATAAGGCATTATGACTGCCCTGAAATTAGATGTTTGTGGGGGTGCCCGACTTTCTGTGTTTGGGGAAGCTTATACACTCTGGTAAGCCTCCTGGACTCTGTCTCAAAACCATTTTTATAAATATAAAAGAAAATATATAGAATTATAAAAAGCCAATTATATTGAATATAGTTGTCAAAATAAAAATTGTGACATAGTAAAACATGTTTGCTTCTTTAATAATGTATTAAATAAGAAGATCTAAAAATGTCTAATATCAACCTGGGAATTATATTTACAGACATCTGCAAAAACTGAAATGTGATATGAAAATAACAAGAAAATTAGACTCAGTATTTTCACTGGTGACAAAAACTTAGGTATTGCTATTGCTTTTATAATTGAAGGAAACATTAACTTTCATGAAGAGGTTAGTACAAATGAAGATATAATTTTTCCTGCCCAGATTTACAGGCTCCTGAATTTTATCCACAGACTCCATGGACCCCAAATTTTAAAACCCTATGTTAGAAAAACCCAGGATAGTTTCAGCAATAGCAGCTACCTTTAAGAAAGTGTATTACCTTTTAAGGTGACCATAAAGGCATTATTCTTTACTTGGTGTATAAGTTCTGACATACACAGTTATTTTTTAAATTCAGCACCATTTTTAAACCTACTTTAAACCTTTATAAATTTTAAATTACTTAATTTTAAATTAATTTTAAAAATTAATTTTTTTTTTGAGACGAAGTCTTGGTCTTGTCGTCCAGCCTGGAGTGCAGTGGTGCAATCTCAGCTCACTGCAACCTCCGCCTCCCAGGTTCAAGCAATTCTCCTGCCTCAGTCTCCTGAGTAGCTGGGATTACAGGCACACACCACTACACCTGACTAATTTTTGTATTTATAGTAGAGACGGGTTTTCACCATGTTGGTCAGGCTGGTCTCATACTCCTGACCTCATGATCTGCCTGCCTCAGCCTCCCAAAGTGCTGGGATTACAGATGTGAACCACCGTGCCTGGCCAAAAATTAAAATTTTTAAATAAAGTTTTAAAAATTCAGCATCACTTTACACCTACCAATAGTGGACATAGTTAACATCATTTTAATCTGTTTGCACATTCTCTATCTACACATATATATGATATGATATGATATGATATGATATGACATATATGATATAATATTCTGAAAACTTTTAATCCTTGACTATTATACATTCATAATTTTTACTGATTGATTTTATTTTATATTTTTAATTTCATCCTCCTCTTTTATCTTTCCTTTTTTTTTAACATTTAAGTTTTACTATTTGATTTGCTGTTTACTATCAAGAAAATTATTTGCTATTAGCAAAAGGGAGAGCAGCAAAAAGTATCCAAGATCGGAATTTTGTCATGGGCACCCACATATATGGGACTTAGAATCATGAACCCTAAATATAAGTAGGCGACAAGAAATGTATACCATATATAGATTAATAGAACATATTGAGAATCACAATACCATGGATAACACCCCAACAGAACAGAGAGGAAATGCAGAAATGTCATCAGCTCTTTCAGCGGTCTAGGCCAGGTTTAGTATTTTTCAGGACCTAAGAGGAAATAGCTGAGGACAGGTAGGATGTCCCCAGTTTGACAGACCCTTTTGGAGAAGCTGGAAAGTTTCAGCAGAGCACATTTGTTTCGTTTTGTTTACCCTGCCTCTCGGGAACAGAGGCTTCAGTTAATAACACTCTTTGGTTCATGGCACAATGTCATCCATGGTTAATGGAGGTTCCTCTCCGGTGCTTATTTATTCCACTTAATCCTCATTTATGTCTTTCATTACCCCTTTCCCCCATCATTCTAAATAAATGTGTTTAATTTGTATATTTTCATGTGCAAAATGGATATGATAATTTTGTGTGTATTTCAGATTTACAGCAATGATACTGGATTATAACTAATTCTATTTCTTCTTTCACCTCCACTATGTTGTATTGTCCCTCCATGTTGCCATGCAAACATCTAATTCATGGTGGCTAATTGCAGTGTGGTCACATCCATCTCTTTGTATCCACCTGCTTTCTCAGTGAGCGACAGTTAGGGTGCCTCCTTCTCCTTGCCACCACAAATTAAATTGTAGTTCACAACCTTGCACGTGGCCCTCTCTGGATCTGTGTGAGAATTTATCTGGTGTACACACCTGGGATAGAATTGCTGGGTTATACAGTTATATATACTTAGTTTGACTAATTACTGCCAGATTACTCCCCCAGATGTCACCTCAGCCAGCAATAGCAGGATACCTGAGAGTTTTCCATCCCCATATGTTTGCTAGCTCTGGAAATTATCTTGCTTTCTATTTTTTTTCAGTCAAGTGATCTATCATAATCATTTGCATTTGAATTTGTCTATTTACAGATTGTTCTGAGCATCTCTTCAATGCTTGTGGGTCTTTTCAGTGTGCTGTTCTATAGATTGCCTATTCGTACCCCTTGTCCATACTTCTTCTGGGGTTTCTGTCTTTTCCTTGTTGATGATTAAGAATTTTTGATAAAATGTATTTTCCTCGATAATGTATGAGTTTCTTGTCAAATTTAGATACGATAAATTCTTTTTCAGTTTTATCAACTGCCTGTTAACTTTGCTCTTATTGAACCGACTTTCTACTTTTAATCATATTAATCTTTTTAAGATGTATGGTTGTGCTTTTGATGTTCTGTTTAATAAATTTTCCCACCCTAGTTAACAAAGATGCTCTCCTACATTTTCTCCTATTATATTTCTCAATTTATCTTTTCAATGCATCTGGACTTCAGCTCTATGTATGGTGTTAGGAAGGGATTCAGTTTCATTTTTCTCCAAAGACAGTGGGACCTTTGAGCCAATGTGCCTGAAAGAAGCAGAAGCTGCAGGCTGGAAGAGATGGAAGAGAGGAGGGAAATAAGTTATTCTGGGCTCACAGAGAAAGATCACAGTTGCAGAATCCAGGGGCTTCGTGTGACCTACCCTAGGAGGCACTCCTCCATCTGTGGTCTGTAATGAAATACTGAAAAAGCCAGCGTGCAGCATACTTCTTTTACAAATAAAGCCGTTTGGAGGAATTTCCCAGCAGCATTGAAGTTCCGGTACATGACTTTAAAAATATCCTCTGTACACAACAGAAGGACTTTCCCAAGTGGGAGGGAGAGCTGGGTGAGTAGGAAGAAAGGAAGCACCCGAGGGAGGCAGGCCAGCGCACACACAAGCAGGTAGCTGAGACTCGATTGCTCTAAAGATGAGCCGGATGACAGAAAAATCAAAGAATTATTCTGGTCCTCAAAGTTGAAAATCTACCTTTCAGGAAAGGTAATTGGTTCCTTTCCAGTGTCTGAATCTT